GTTAGTGTTTCTAGTTCAAGTTAGTTCTAGCCTGGTGAAATTCTGTATGTTGAGCACATATACATAATGATGATCCAGAGGTCTGCAACAGTCTTTGGGGTTTTGGTTTGATTCTTGAAATGTTAATGTGCCTTTTAAGAGTACATTTTTAAAATTTGGGACTTATTGTCACCAAATTATATGTTAGGCTTCTGTTCATAGTCAGAGGGTTAGTACCCATAACAGTTTATATTTGATTGTAACCATTAATCAATCATTTTCATAACCAACTCTCTCTTTTTTTGGTACTGGGAATTGAATTCAGGACCTTGTTCCTGCCAGGCAGGTGTTATGCTACTGAGCTATAACCCTGGCTCCTGCCAACTCTTAATAATTACTATTACTAATATTTTTTTTTTTTTTTTTTTTTTGCGGAATCAGGGATTGAACTCAGGCCATTGTGCTTGCGAGGGAAACGCTTATTCCACTGAGCCATCTCCCTGGCCCTAGACTAACAATATTATATTAATGCGTGGCATATATGTGGCATATATATTTAACAAATATCTATATAATGATACAAGTTTTCTTGAATATATATAAGATGTGTGTATGTCCATGTGGACATACATGCATAATATAGGAATTATTATTAAATAACAAAATGTTTTTTGAAAGAAAAATTCAGGGACTGACAGTGTAGCTTAGTGGTAGAGCATGTACCTGTCAGCATGAGTGAGGAACTGTGAACTAAATTCCTAGCACCAAACAAACAAAACCCACATTACTTTCTAATACATTCTTAGTGAACCACCCAAATCTTTGAAGAGCAAGAAGTGAATAACAGTCGATTGTGGAGCAAAAAACCTTCTTAGATACAGTTGTCAGAAAATGGAAAGTTATCCCTGTAAGCTTATAATCTGCTTATGACATTAGAAAGGCATTAAGTGATAATGATTATGGAAGTTGCAGAAAGGCAGGAAATGGAAGGAAAAGCCCATCAGAGTCAAAGTGAGACTGCGGGTTGTCTTCTAGAGTACTGGTAAGCAGGGGTTTATGTGTTTAATATTGGCACTCTAGTTTTCATTTATAATGAAGTCATAAAATTACCTATATTGCAGTCCATAATAAGAATATAAATTCTTATAACTTAGACTGGCTTCCTTATAGAATTAAAAATGTCAGTGAGCCCTGACATAGTCTATACCATCTCTAATCCCAGCACTCAGGAGACTGAGGCAGGAGGATCACTATGAGTTTGAGGCAAAGCAGTTCAAGGCCATCCTGGAATGTATAGCAAGATTCTGTATCAAAAAAAGAAAAAGAAAACAGAGTACTGTTTTTACCACTAAAATAATAAGTATTCACTGGGTGTGATGACACATACTCATAATGACAGCTACTAGAAAGGCTGAGACAGGAGGGTCACTAATTCAGAGCTAGCAGGGCAACTTAGAGAGACCACAGTACAGAAGCTGGGGATGTGACTCAGTGGTGGAGTGCTTGCCTACAATGTGTAAGGCTGTGGGTTCAATCTCCAGGACTACAGTCACTCAATATCAATATCTGAATGTATTTGGGCCTCACAGAGGTAGTCTTATCAACCTATCATTTTTATGTTGTAGGGCTCACAAAATACATGAATTTACCTTAGCTCACTCCATCCTCAAATAATTTAAGATTGAAGATATTCCTATTTTAAAAATGGGAAAACTGGCTGGGGAGATACCTCAGCTGTTTAAGTGCTTGCCTGGCAAGCACAAGGACCTGAGCTCTATCCCTGGTACCGCAGGTCATGCAGACCCTGGAATCCTGGACATGATATGCAGACCACCAAAACTGGGCATAGTGGTGCACATCTGTAATCCCAGTGCTGGGGAGGCTGAGGTAGGAGGATCACAAGTCTGAACTGTGTAGTGAGACCCTGCAACAAATAAATAATTTTTTTTTTAAATGGGAAGACTTATGCAATACCGTGAGTTAGCCAGAGTTGGAATTTAAATAAGTTTATTCCAGTCTTTGCAGCCTTGTTTGATTACCTTTGTAGGCCATGTGCTTTCCAGAGGCTAAAGTTAGAGAACTGAGCAAGTTGGCATTTCTCTTGGGCTTACCTGAGGTGGGACAGCCATGTGATCTGGAGCACTGCCAGCCCCGATAGTGTCTCACAAGGGACAAGACCTGATGTGCTAGCTTGTGTTGCCCAGGCACTTGGTCTGAGGTGATTCCATACCATCCTCATGGGCTGCCTTGGGCTGCACCTCTCCCCAGACTGTGACCTCCTCTAAGCAACATCGCTGCTCACCTGGCCAGTCCTGCCTGACTGGAGGTCTAGTGTGTGAGGATGCAGAATTCCTTATCCTTGATCCCAGGCTTTGTGCTTTTGTATGAGTTGAAAGTCTGCGCTTTAAATTAGGCCTTAGGTACAATTAGAAAACTGGGTGACCAACCTAATGCCTGCGTGCAAGAGACTACCTCCATCATTTGGGGGCATCTCCTTCCAAGTAACTAGAGGTTAGATGCACCAAAAATAGAAGTGCCTTCACAGGCCTGAGAGTAATTAGAAAACAGACACAGTGTTTTACTATAAACTGTAAGCTGTCCATCATGAGTTTTCCAAACCACTAGAGAGCTTATTATCAGAACCAGTATTACATGTATGTAGTACATTCTATGTAAATGGTAGCTGGATGCTTTGCCCCAAAGCAGAGGTTGAAATTTCAGCTAGACAGCTCTTCTATATATTTTCTGGTATCTGCCTTTTCCAGCAAAGTCAAAGTCGGGTAACATGCTAAATGTTTTCTGCAGCACTTACTGCCATCTAATCAGAACATCAGAGTATTTATGAGGGAAGAAGTAATCTGAGATGTACTGAATTTGTTTGCTTTGTTTTCATCCTTATTGCCACTGTTAGTCTAGCTTTACTTTCTGATTATTAATCTGGTGACCTAAAGGTGAGCCAATCTAGACTCTTGTTAAACTGTCCAATAGTGACATACTTTTTTTTTTTTTTTTTTTACATGTTTCAGTTTAAGGGGCAAGAGAGGTGGGAGGAAAAATAAATAGGTATAGCAAAAGAGAGATGAAAATAGATCTCATTCATTCATTCATTCATTCAGAGATTTTTTTTTAAAGATTCTGAGTGTTGAACCCAGGGCTTCTCATGTGTTAGGCAAGTGCTCTACCACTGAGCTGCATCCTCCATCCTCATTCTATGACAGATTTTAATTAAATACCTCCTATATTCTAAGCATTGTTCTTGATGCTGTGGATATAACAGTGAACAGGAAAAGGAAACAAACTTCCTAGGAGCCAGCAAAGGGTAACAGATGCAAAACTAGGAAGTAACTTGATAGTAATGTCCTGGAGAGAGAATTCAGGTACTCAGAGGCCTCACTCAGTTCTTACCCTTGAGTTAAAATCTGCATTAGAGGAAGTTTCTATCCATGTAGAGATCTGGGAGAAATATATCCCAGTCAGAAGAAACTACCAGAGCAGTGGCCTTCAGCTAGGAATTAACTTAGTATGTACCGAAACTACAGAAGGAAGGCCTGGCCTGGGGCTTGAGAATGAGCAGGGAGGAGCAGCTCAAAGCAAGGCTGTAGGGGAAGTCAGCACCCTCAGGTCATAAAAGGCAGGGTGGGTCCTGGGAAGCATTTTGTGTCTTATTCTGAGCAAGCTGGAAACCTTGGCCTTTTTTTATGTGCTCTGAAAGCATTTAATCTGGTGGTAAGGACAGCAGATTGGTAGGAGCAAGAGAGAAAACAGGACCAGTTGGGTGATTGGAGTGGCTCAATCCGAGGGGTAACACTAGCTTGGACCAGAATGGTGATGTCAAGAACGTAGGCCCTATAGTAAGTAGACATTTTTCTGACTTCCTGTATGAATTTTCAATGCAGTCTTTAGTGTTAATCAGCTTTACATTAGAATTAAATAAAGTAGCATTTTGAACTAGCATATAATTCTGTGATTTCTAGGGATTGTTTTTAAAAATTGCGAAGGTGTTTGACAATTAAGTACTGACTATTCCATAAAAAGAAAAAAATATGATTTTTTTCTTTGTTCTCATTTTATTTAATTTATAATATGTATCAAAGGGTTTGCCAAAGAGTGAATATAGTTTTTTATTATATTTATTATCTTATTGCAGAAAAATACAACAAAATATAAAGAAAAAATAGCATATTATCTCGCTGTCTAGATATGTGTTTTCTTTCTTTTCAGTCTTTTTTAGTGGCCAGGTAAATTTTCCTAGCAATAGTTTTTATACAAGTTAGTAGTTAGTAGTTTGTCTCATTTAGTTTTTAAAACATTCTTTAAGTTGGATCAATTTCTTACTTTCATCAGTAGCTGCTATCATTGGTTGAAAAGCCTTTTCCAGTAGGTGTTTATTACATAAGTCCTTGATTGCCTTCTCTGTGTTTTTAGCCAGATTTATAATAATGTCTTTAATATTTTCATCAAGGTACAGTCAGATTAATCTGCGAGTTGCTTTTTTTGGGGGGGGCTTTGTCTTAGAGCTGTAACTTGGTAAATTATGATATAATTCACCATTATAATTTTCAGGTAGTATTAATTGAATATCAGTCTATTAATTAACTTAGATTGCTTCTAAAATTATTGTGTTTTATTTCAGCTTATAGTTTTTTTCTTTTTGGAGCTGTGTGTTTTTTAGTTTATGTATTTTGTGGTACCAGGGATCAAACTCAGGATCTTATGCTTGCCAGGCAAGCACTTATTCCACTGAGCTATCTCCCCATCCCGTTTGTTAGTTCAAAACAGGCTCTTATATAGTCCAGAGTTCAGGGTATCCTCCAGCTTAGTATTACAAGGGTGTATTACCAGGCACAGTTTATAGCTTCTTAATATTAGAAATACTGGGTCTTCTAAAATTTTTTGGTACTGATTTGATCTTAATATATCCAAGAATGTAAAATATATTCAACAAAATAAAAATTTCTTTTAAAATGTGTTTTTCCTGAATGCAGGCTAAAATGTAATAATGATTCTTGATTATTTTGTAGACCTCCAAGGAAGATCTTCTGCAAGCTGATTTTGAAGGTGCTTTAAAGTTCTTCAGAGTTCAGCTTCCAAAGAGATACCGAGCAGAGGAAAATGCAAGAAGATTGATGGAGCAGGCTTGCAACATCAAAGTAAGATACATGAATTTATATATGATGAAAGTATAATTTGAATACAGAATATCATAGCAAAGTATGTAAAACTCCTTTTACATATGTGGCAAGATTTTGACAGTGTTTAAGCTAATAATTTTGTAGAAACTATTCTCTTCCAGACTTTTTTGTCAGGGTAGTGAATAACATATTTGCTATACCTTCTAGTAGGATTTATAATAAAAATGGACAGGTTCAGACTGTAACAAGAAGTCAAATATTTGTCTGATATGTAGGGCTCTAGAAGAGGCTACTGTGTTAGTGGTTTCCATGGCAGCAGACTTAGTATTTCGATATTGCCATCTGCTTTAAGATTATTTAGGACAAAGCAAGTAAAGCCTGTTTGAGCCGTTCTTTCATTTATTTAAATAATTTGGAAAGTTTGCCTCTTTATTCCTCTCCCAAACCTACCAAATATCTGTTGATAAACTGGTCTGTATCACATGTCTGATAAAACTAAATAAATCTTGTAATTTAGGTTTAAGCTGAAAACTATGTAGAAAGTTTTAGTAATAAGGTGAAAGAGCACATTTTTGAAATGGTGGAAACCAAGAGGATATGGTGGTACATGCCTGTAATCTCAGCATGAGGGAGGCTGAGGCAGGACGACTGCTACAAGTTTGAGGCTAACCTGGAGCTTCGTAGTGAGTTCAAGGCCAGCCTGAACTATTTACATAGTGAGACCCAATTTAAAAAACAAAACAAAAAGAATGAAAAAGTAGGTGAACCCAAATTATCAATTTAATTCTTTTGAGGGCTGTCCTGATAGCTCAGCAGACTAAAGCGCCTGTTTACGCAGATGCAGGGACTAGGATTTGATCTCCAGCCTGCCTTGATGGCCCCACCCCTGGGTTGTGCTGAGATGGTGATTGAGACTGGGTGTGGTAGTGCATGCCTGTAATCCTAGCGCTTGGGAGGCTGAAAAACAGGAGGATCACTATGAGTCTGATCTACATAGTGAGACTCTGTAGACCCAGTATGCCCTGTACTAAATGCAAAACAAACAAATAAAAATAATAATTTTTATATTTCTGGAATACACCAGGGAATCTGTTATCTAATCATGACACAAATAAAAATTGTTTCCAAAACAGATGGACAAAGAAGTCTTATGGACCTTGTAATTCTTACAGAAAAATGACAATAAAATAATTTGAAATAATTATTTAATAAAAAGTTGATAATTATGAAACAGAAAAGAATGAAAAAGAGGAGAGATTGGATTGGTGGTGGGATGGAAGGTTGTGATTGTCATTAGATAGGGTAGACCTAGAGTCCCAGGGGTATCATTGGAGGCATCTGGGTTAGGGCCATTCCATTGAATACAGCAGCTAGCTCAAAGGCCCTGAGGCTTGCTTACTCCTCAGTTTGAGCAAGAAGGTTAAAGTACCTGGATGAAGTGAGTTAGAGTAGTAGGAAAGGCAGTTAGAGCACTTATAAGGAAGCAGAAATGTCAGAAATGTGACTGTGATGATTTAGGCTTTACTCTGAAGTGGGGAGCCTTGTAGGATTTTGAAGGGTTCTTTTAAGGACTGTACTCACTGTATAATTTTTTTAGTGTAATACTTTTGTTTTCAATTTTAACCTCTTTTAAAGTAAATTACAAATGGTAGCACAACTCCATGCTGAAAGTAAATGAGCAGGGGAAAAATGTCATATGAACCCTATATTCAGAAAGATTACTTTCCAAGTATGACAGGAAAGACAGGCCTCTAGTCTTCATCCTGAATAAACTTTTTTTTTTCCTTCTGTATTTAGTACCAGGTCTACAGGGTCTCACTACATAGCTTGGATTCATAGTGATCTAGATGTGTTCATCCTCCCAAGAGCTGGGATTACAGGTGTGTGCCACCACGCCCAGTCTCAATCCCTGTCTCAGTGCACCTTGGGGGGTGCGCAGCATGGCATGCTAGGGCTTGAACCCTGGCCTCTGTGCTCTGTCTAAGCAGGTGCTTTAGTCTGCTGAGCTATCTGGGTGCCCCCCTGAATAAACTCTTTAAAGCCTTTGAGACATATTATTTTATTTAGCTGGGCCAAAGTCTAAGCCTAAGCCATTTGAAAAGTGTATTGCAGTGGACATGCTGCTTGTGATTAAATTTTGTAGGAAGTAAGTTTGAAAGTAAGCATCAGCCACTGGGTGTTCCCAAAACACAGGAGGGGCTTCAATTAAGTAAAAATCAGAAAATATGCTGACCCATCAGACTTAACTTTGGTCACTTGGTTGTGTAATCGAGACCTAAGTGAAAAGTGCATGAGTCCTAATCTAAACAGCCTGCGTTGTTCAGGAGGTCAGCTTTTTATTCAGAATCATTATTCATTCTTCATCTTACAGAGCATCTCAAATGTAGATTTTGGCTTTAGAGTTTCTGAATCATCAGGTGTGTGAATTTCTTTGTATGAACATATGGATATTTTGGGGTTTTTTTGGTAAGACAACATCAAAGCTTTCATTTTCTGAAAGGGAATTCAGTGATGCTCAAAAAAGCTGGCCTCTGTACTATGGGCAATTTTAAAATTGTCAAGCAAAATGAACATTAAAAGAATATTGGAAGTTATAAATGGGACACCTTTACTGCTCAAGTGCATAAATACATAACCTTTATAATTCTTGATCTGAGTGCCATTTTTCTACAAATTTTATATTCTCTATATTTTATTTGTTATCATTTATATTTAAGTTGGATTTATGAAATTTCCAGTCTTACTTGTCAAAACTGTCAGTCTTTAGACATTGAGTATGATTTAATTCAATGTTATATACTTCCTTAAAATTCAAATCAGTGCTATGTAGATAGATGGTAAAATATTAAAGAGTAGAATCTCTTAAAGATAATGAATTCATCTAGCTGACATTGCTCTGATAAAAATTAAAAGCTCGAATGAAAGAATGAAACATCTATAGTCTAGAGCTATGTTGGTAAACCTTTTAAAGCTTTCAGGAACAAGCAGCCTGCTGTGGCACATATACCTTAGGTTTATCACACTGGTTTAGAGTTTTATTACCATGTAAACTGTTTCTGAGACTGGCAAACAGATCTTTCTCTTTGGAAATATTCTATTGATAGATCTTTGTAATAGAATGTTTTAAAGCATAAATTACCCTATTTGTAATTTTTTTTTTATTTTTTAAAGAGAGTACAAAATAATATTAAAACAGAAAAATTCTGCTTAGGCCGATGCAGGGAGCAGAGTTCAATACCCAGTATGCAGTGCCAACCCTGCCCCTGGGGTGCACTGAGACCGAGAATGAGACTAGGCATCTGGGCGTGGTGGTGCACACCTGTAATCCCAGCACTTGGGAGACCGAAAGCAGGAGGATCACTATGAATCCAATATGTGTAGTGAGACCCTGAGGACTTTGTACTAAATACATTAAAAAAGAAATAACAGAAAAATTACAAGTAATACAGAATTTCACTTAACAAAATAATATAAATTTCATAGTATTTCTTGTAATGCATAGTGTTGTCTTCCAACTTAAGAGCAGCTAATGTTTAATTTGTTTTGTCTCCTTTTTCCAATTGTTTGTCCTTTTTCTCCTCTTAATTTCTTATGTATTTTTTCTTTCTTTCTCTATGCATATTTCTTCCAATTTTGCATGTGTATTTCTGGTAATAAAAATTACCGTTTAACTTGTCTCTTATTGGTAAAATCACTTGAACAAAATTAAAACTGCAAAACCAACATTTGTTCAAACTTAAACATTTGTTTAAGAATGATCATTTATTGAGTGCCCATTTTGTTCTAAGAACTATGCAGAGAAAATAAGGGCTAAAATATGACCTGAAAGATTATTAGAGTAAATACAAGAAGGCAGAAGGATGATCCATGCAGAAAATATGTGGAAACCCATAGGGAGGAAAACAGAAAGCATTCCAAGACTTTATTTGTTGGAGATTAGGATGTGCAGAACAAGAGAGAGTAGGAGAGTAGGTAGATTAGAGAGGCAAGCAGGAGCCAGCTGTGCAGAGCTGTGTGATCAGTGGTAGGCAGTTTACATTTTATCCCAGGGTGGGGGATTGTGGGCAATGGGAGGCTTTGAGTAGGAGTCAAAAGTGATGAGATTTATGTTTTAGGAAGGTCATTTTGCTGTTGTGTGGACAATAGATTGGAAGATATACAATCAGATATTAATGACAGACCATTCTGGGCACAGTTGCAGTACTTTAGGTGAGGAATGAATCAGAATATTTGTTATGGAGTGGAGAGAGATAGATGAGAAGTATTTAAGAGATAGAATCAACAGATCTTAATGATTATGAGACAGCAGACAACATTAAGACAGAGGGAATGAATCAGTAATAACATTCAGTGTTGTACTTAGAGATTGGCAGTGATAATATTGAGAAAGAAAATGAACAAAGAAGAAATTACCTGGATGGAAGGAGTTAAATTTGGAATATATTAAATTTATGGTACATATCCATAAACCCCTATGATATCCACTGTGAAGATAGATATAAGAGCTGGGTAAAATGTAGACATTTGGAAGTGGTCAACATTGAAACCATGAGAGTGGGTAAATTCTCATAGGGGAGTACCTAAAAGGAAAAGTTAAGAAAAGATACATTAACATGTTAGATGGACTAAGTAGAGGCCGTTAAGACTGAGAAGGCAGGGCAGAAGAAGCCCAGAAGAGTATAAAATGTGAATATTAAAGGAAAGGTATTTGTTTTCAGGAAGAAAGGCGATGTGTACATGCACTGGAAAAAACAAAACAAAACCAAAAAAAGTGGAGGAGGCAAAGGAAGAGATTGTTATTGATTCCTAGAAGCCATGTAAAGCACTAAGGAGTGGAAAGTGGTTATTGTGCAATAGCTAATGATCAAAGTCCTTGATGATCTTAGTGGCAGCATTTTCAGTGGAGTAGTGAAGAGCCAGTGATTAAATGAATAAATAGGATAGAAACATAAAAATGAGATAATTTTTCTAAAAGATTAGAAGGAGGAGAGGATGGTGGGAAATGAGAGAGAAAGTCA